AAAAAAAAAAAAACAAAATCTAGAGCATTAAAAAGAAAGATATGACAACCCTTCTGAACCGAAATAGACAACAAGATTCTATGCATACATAACCTCATTCCACAGCTAGTAAAATTCAGAGTTAAAAAAAATGCCATTACGACTAAAACAGCGTAGTTTATTGAAACAACAATTTCTATGAAACAACCTTTTAATTCGTTGTAAGCAACCATCTCTCGTTCAAAAGTCAAGCCAAAAAAACCATTTGCATACCCAGCCGAATCCATAGTAACCCTTTTAATCGGTAAACTAGCCCAACCGAATAATGCTAAAACAACTAGATAAATTTTAGAAAAAAAAAAGATCTAATCAAGAATTTGGAAAATAAGATTTTTACTTTAGTCTCATAATTACTGCTTCAGGATCAAAGTTACCATCAGTTTAGCTCTGCAATAAATCTGACAAAAAAAAAAAAAAAAAACCAGAAGACATATTTTAAAAATTTATAAACCAGTAAATGTAGTTTAGAACCTGTACTCTCAACTCTCCAAGAAAAAAAAGCAATGATCAACCAAATATGTAGTTTGACAACAACAACTTAAATTATGTTTCTTCAAGAGTTTTTTCTTTACCTTGCCAAATGTAAAAAATAAATACGGAGCTACTGCGAACATTAAAGACAAAAAAAAAGAAAAAAATTCAAGGAATGACAATGCTGTGGATAAATTTATCAGTAATAATTGACAACTAGTTGAAACAGCGAGAAAAAAAACGGCCATAAAATAGGGACCCAAGAATGATAGCCTGTAAAACCTGTGAAATCGCCTTAGGTGGTCACAGAAACAACTCCAAATAAAACAATTTCTATGCCGCTGTAACAATCAGTTTTTAGAATATTTTGGAGAGCATATAAGTTGTGATAAATGCTTTACAGCAGCTGTTTTCGAACCAAACTCAAGATGAGACTACACTGAACCAAAAAAAACTCTGCTTATTGCACAGAAAAGAAAAATTTGCAAAATAACAAAAAAACAAAAGGTAGAAAATATTGAAAAAAAATTTTTTTTTTTGTGACATTATATAAAATAGAAAATAAAAGGTTAATTAGCAAACGCTTCACACCGACTCACATAGTTGCTTGATTTAATCTTATCTGCAAAAAAAAAATTTCTTTTTTTTCTCCACCTCCCCATCTATCTTATAGGGATAACATACCGATTCAAAAACAAAATGCGCTACGCAGTCACCAACTGTTGACGCATTCGAAACAGCGCGGCACTACATGATAATTACTTTCTTGGCATTAGGCCAAATTTTAAATTTGTTTAACTAATTACAGCCTAATAATCTCGTCATCGATATCCCCGTTTACGCGGCTGGTCATTGCCATATATCTCACTGTCTGTCTGTCGAAAAAATTAATTCAGCTGGCGTCCAAATCAGCTGATTACAGAAAACAGAAAAAAAAATCTGATTGGATCGATCAATCACCCTATTTGGCGGTCATAAACAAGTATGTAGTACTTGACAGAATTTTTTGCATATAACTTTCAAGGCAATTATTTATCTATTGGCTCGACTGTAATATGCTTTATGCCCATTTATAAAATACCTTAGCATATCTGTTTTGAAGTTAAGAAATAATGACTTAACTTATCCTTCGTTATCCACAGTTAAATTACATTCTGG